TTCATGTTATTACATCACGTCAGCCTAAAGTACTTATAATTCTCGTCGAGAATTGATTGTATGTTCTGTAATGAATAAAAAAAAAAAAAAAAAAAAAAAAAAAACTTAAAATAATAATAGGATGATAAATAAAAAGTAGTAATCAGAACACGTTTTGATAGGGTTACAAGACCACTAAGCATATGGTACGAGATAACAAACATTTACACCATTAAGATTTCTTACAATCTGACTTGGATGAGACAGACGGCGGTTACAGTAACTATAATACAAACAATGACAAAATCGAAGATGAGAAGTCACTTAAAGAACTTCTCGCAGGTTGGGAAATCCTAAAGAAAAAAATATTTGATCATTTTACTAGGTAGAGTTACATAATTGATTAATTAAAAATAATGATTCGACCAATCTATCATTATGTTAATAATCTTTGCACTTCAAGACTTTGCTCTAACTCTATACAAACTCTATATAAGTTTAATATACACTTAGTATTTAAGATGTTTATTTAATTAAATAAACTGTTTACATATTTCTCATTTATTTATCTTCTGGTTTATTAAATACAAGCGTGTATCCACATTTACCGCAATAATGACGATCTTCCATTGCTGCCATGAAAACGCCAGCTCCACATTGCTCACTAGGGCATTCTCGTCTTAGACGATGGATCTTTCCATTCTCATCGACCTACAAAGTATAGAGATAAACATTGAACGTGCTATAATAAAAATCAATAAACAAATTGCATACGTAAATACATACCTTGTAGAATTTGAGCACAGCAAGCTTGACTTTCTTCTTCTTGTGCTTGATTTTTTTAGGAGTCGAATAATTCTTCTTCTTACGTTTTTTTGCTCCGCCTCGTAAACGCAAAACCAAGTGCAAAGTAGATTCTTTTTGAATATTGTAATCTGATAAAGTTCTACCATCCTCCAACTGCTTGCCAGCGAAAATCAATCGTTGTTGGTCTGGAGGAATTCCTAATAAAAACAAAAAAAATTTATTTTTTCATATAAAATCTTTTACATCTTTCCCTTTTCTCTTTAAATATGTGTTGTATTCTTTCTATAATAGATTTAATAACCGGTCGATATTTACCTTCTTTATCTTGAATTTTAGCTTTGACATTTTCGATAGTATCGGATCCCTCTACCTCAAGGGTGATGGTTTTCCCTGTGAGTGTTTTAACAAAAATCTGCATGATGACCGTCTCCTAGATCTTGCAAAAATACCAATTTAAATTAGTAAATTAATAAACTAACAAAATAAATTTAACCCTATGACTGCTATGAGCGCATATTTACGTACGGCGCAAGCCATCGGTGTAGACTATGGATGTAGATGCGTCCGTATATTATAATGCACATACCTCGTCATATTGACCATCATAAAAACATTAAAAACCATCAATTTTATGCTATTTGGCGCAATTATTAAAAAAAAAAAAGAAAAAAGAAAAAAAGAGCAATGGAAGTAAAAATTAAATTGTAACTCTGTAATTCAAGCAAATAATTATCTTTTTTTATTTGTGCAAGATGGTAAAAAATTTATTGTTTCTAATGGCTTCGTGATAATTTTTATTCTATATATATATATATATACATTTCCTGTATATTAATAAAAATTAATAAATGTAAAGAAAAGTTTTAAAATTTATGAATAGAGAAAACTTAAGAAAACAAAAATTTCTCCACGAAGAATAGAACTTTAATCATTGGTGCGACAGACGAGAACGATATTACCTAATTCGAAGTTCTACAAATATTAATGAAAAAAAAAGTAAACTGTACAAATGTATTTATAAAGATATCTTTATTACAATTGTCCTTTTAATAATACAAATGTAAAATATAATTTAAGTAATTTAGACATCATTTAAAATTAGATTAAACAAGTAATATAGCATTGATACAGCCATCATTTTCTGGATTATTTGTAACTTGTGCATATTTACCCCATACAACTTTACCAGATTGTGTTACAAGACCTAATTCTGAGATATTTACTTCGATAATAGTACCTTTGGTTATGACACCTAAATTTGTATACATGGGAGAGCTTGGATTTTTTTTAACATCTATAATCGGTAAACAAAAAGTTGCTTTTAATTCTGGATGCGTAACATGAGCTTTTTTAAAACGCAATGCCATTGGTCTAATAAATCTTTCAAATTTAGGTGGTTTCCTTGTAAAGTTTTCTCCGACAAATGTAACTTTAGTTACCATTCTTTTCCAAGACTTTCGTTTGGACTTTCCACTTCTCATAACTCTAAATACTTCTGACTCTGATTGAGCTTTCACTTTAGGTATTGGTACATCCCATTTTCCAACTTTTTCCTTTCGTTTTTGTTTAATCATATTAGACAATACTTTAGCTCTTTTGGTAATATCTCTGTCGAGAAGATATACTGGAACAGCTCCGTCCGATGGTTTTTCCGTTGTTTGCTTGACTTTTTTCTCTTCATGAGCTCTGATCTTTTTCTTCATTTGAATTTTTTCATTGCGACGCTCCTTATTAAAGATTTTAGCCTTGATGCCACGTAAAGAACGAGCACGCTCTGCTCGTTTATGAGGCTCTCGTGCTTCACGTTTTCTTTTCCTCTCTTCATAATCCAAACGTCGTCCATATAACTTTCTGTGTTTCTCAATATATTCATTCTGCGGCATCTTGATTGACGAATAGCTTCTTCAAATTTCTGAAAAAGACAAATAAGCATTTAAAGTAATTAAACTTGTCAATGATGAATTAAAACTATAACTTTTATTTATGTATACTATAAACAATATATTATAAGATTAAATGCATCATAACTTACCTTACAAGTTAATTCACAAATATTACAAACAACCACACTGTAAATGAAAATATTTGTCTATTATCTACTATTTTTTAGCACTCAATAGAATGCATTAAGTGAAACATATAGATTTGCGATGTTCGCTCATTTATTAATGTGGAGTGTCTTGTATCTAACGTATGGTTGTTTAAATGTAGTGTGTAAGAAGTGTGTGGATAATGTGACTATGAGAATGTCAGTATAAGTGAATGGACGCATGAAAACTAGAATAACTTACAATATTGAATAAACTAGAATAAGAAAAAGTATAATATTGGTATTTTTATAGCAGAAATAAATCTAAGAATAATAAAATAATAGTCTTCTTCCATATCAACCTTCGACAATTAAATTATTATATATTGCGACATTTTGCATTTAGACAATATGCTAGCAAACAACACGTTATAATAAATGCATCGAACATACGCATCCCTTTTATAATTCGATGGAAAAGTTAATTTTACATCGTTTTAGCATCGCAGGCTTGTTTGCGCGCACGTGCGCACACGCCATGTGCTCACGCAAGTTTTAAATAAAACGTTTTAATTTTTTTTAAATAATTGCTTAAGTTAATAAGGAGAGCAGTGATTGAGATATCAATCGTTTGGTAATATTAATTTTAACAGCTTGGTGAGATAAATAAAAGTAAAATAAATTGAAGTATACCTGCAGCTTTATTAACAGACCATGGAAAGAAAGAAGAACACACGATAAGGTTAACAAAACGATAATTATATAAGAAGAGAAAACTACTGTTAAAAATATTGAGCGGGTACCAATCGCGCCATCTGTCGGTGCTACTGAATACCTCTAACTAAAGAAAACCTTTAGTTTTAGCAGATCTATGACTGTTTATTGGTATTCCGTTTTTCACAAGAGGTATTGTATAGTTATACTTAGTGTTCGAGACAACATTTTCATTCCTTGCTATTACAAGAATTTAATGTCTGTTTTGTGTAAATTTTTGTTTAGCAAATTTTTTTCAATATTTCTCAAAATATGATTTTATTAATTGATAAAGTATAATTTTTGTTACGTGAACGAAGAAATTGTAAAACTATAGGAAATGGCACAAATTGAGAATTCGAACGTGTTTACAAACGATGGAGAGATTCCATCGGCTGGTTCATCCGATCTTTTACAACAAGCAATCCAACAAGCTGTTGACGATAATGATAATGGAAATGATTTCGTAGCGTTTTTGGGAAGCGATGAAAATGATTATCAAATGATTCATCTCACTCCGGAACAGGCAAAGTCATTAGGTTTAACTTTTGAGTTAACATCAAACGAAGAGGTTATATATAAACATAATCAAGCTAACGATATTCTCGATACAAGCAACATTACGGCAAATAATCATTGTGAAACGGAAGATGTAAGTTCGGTATCTGCGCAAGATACTAATTTTACAGAGGAAGATTTTAATTTCGAAACGGATCAAGTAGAAAATGTTGAGGAGATTAATGATATTGTTAAGACAGAGTGCATGAATTATCCGGAATGGCAAATTCATGAAGATTCTCCAAATGATAAATTGCAGAATGAAACTGTCACAAATAATTTGACTTTAGGAAATATTTGTTTACAAAGACAACCTATTAATTCACAGTCACAAACATTGGAAATACAACAAAACAATTCGAATACGCAGAGAATAGTTTTAGAACAGCCAAAGATACATACAATAATGACAGACATTAGACAAATTAAAACTAAAGATAATTCATGCTATGTAGTAGAAGATGACTTGGCACAAAATCAATCAATGAACAAAGTGTCCAGTTCTCAAGCACAAATCCTACAAAAATTACCAATACTTTTGCCATCTTCTCAATTCATTCTAAAGCCTGCGCAAACCATATTGAAACCGGCAAAAAATGTTAAATTAATACAAAATATAAATAAATTTGCAAATACTAATCTAAATTCTATCAATGGAATGCAAACGATCAATATTAATTCTAATTCCAATTCTGTGTTACTTTCCAAGGCAACTGTGATCAATACCTTATCGCCGCAAATAATAAAAGCAACTCCTATTACGACTCAATTTTTGAACACAAATAATGTATCTGCACAGTTATTAAATACATCTCACATTATAACGGCAAACTGTGAAATAGGAAATCAAACGAGCACTTCTCAGATCGCCAATACTGTGGTAAATAGTGCTCCTGTATTATCACAAAATGCAACTACTTCACAGATACGAATGTCACCAGCTATAAAAACTCCAACATCATCGTTACAAAAAAATAGTATTTCTCAGCTTTTAGCGCCGATGTTAAAAAATGCTACTACTATAACTAAAACAGTACCAAAACCTGCACAAGTTATTAGTAATGCGACAATATCTACGGAACTTAAACCAATTCAAGTTGGCACAAAATTAATTAAGGCCTCTTCCTTAACAGGAAAAAAGAGTTTAATAACGCCTATGACAAAGATTATAACGCAGACAAATTCCCCGGTTATATTTAGAACAGCATCGATTGCTAAAACACAAGATTCTAAAACAACATCTAATTCAACCTCTATATTAAAACCAACGCAAACATCATCGACACCTATATCTATCTTGAAACCACAAACTAAAGCAGCCTTACACAATTATACTAAACAAAATCAAACAGTTACAGTAAATTCTAATAATTTTATTAATAACATACAAAATTTCTTACAAACAACACCAATTATACAGCAGAATGGTTCGTCTGACAAAACAGAATCTTTCCAAAATGGTTTTGTAAAGCAAAAGATTAATTCATCTGTAAATGGAGCATGTTCGAAGATCAATAAAAAATCTAAAGGAATACCTTCTACAAAATCTACAGTTGTATCAGAAACAATAGATACATCTAAACCATTGGGATCTAGTGAAAATCCTATACAAATAGTACAACAAGGTCATCATTTTCGTAGGTACTGTTAACAAATTTTTATACATTTACTATAATTATTTTTACATAATTGTTGTAACTGTACGTATATGTGCACGCATATATTTTTAGTTTGTTATATATATTATATATTTTAGTATTTTTACATTTGACTTTAGCACACAACAGCTTTCGCCGAATTGTATGAAAAAAATTTTTCAAGTCATAAATCAACGTCATCAACTTGAAGAAACGTGTATGTCTGATAAGACAATCGTGTATAGGTCAGTTATGAATAAGGATAAGTAAGTAACGAATAGTGAGTAAAAATATGACTATTTCAATATCTACGAATAAATGAAAATTTATGTATTTTTTATACAGGGTATTATTACCAGAAGAATTAACTTCAAATTTGAATAATCCTGGAACCTTAATAAAAAATCGTGGTGGCAAACGAGGACGACCAAAAAAAAATACTATTAGGCCTTCTTTGATCCCATCAAAAACAGCAACAGTTCCTGAGGAAGAACAAGTCGAATTGAAAGTAATTATTTTTATTTAAAATAATAAAATACTTATAATTTAAAAATGATTTATAAATGATATATTAAAATAATAATAGGATGACAAAAAGAAAGGAATAGCCAGAACACGTTCTGGTAGAGTTACAAGACCTCCGAGACATATGGTACGAGATTACAAACATTTACATCATTCAGATTTCTTACAACCTGACTTGGATGATTCGGACGGCGGTTACAGTGACTATAATACAAACAATGACAAGATTGAAGATGAGGAGTCACCTAAAGAACTTCTCACAGGTTTGGAAATACCAAAGAGAAAAATATCTGATCATTTTAGATGTCCTACGTGTATGAAAGTATATTTGGGAAGGACACGTATGGCAAGGCATTTTGAATTGCATCCGGATCATGGTAGTCCTGAACAGTTACCACCGCCTACGCCCGATCCCGAACTCAAACAAACTAGCAATCAAGATCCTTTAAAACGTAAGGGAAAAAAAAGGGGACCATGGGCTTATGTTACACCCGAAGCTAAATCGGAACGGCGTAAAGTAAAGCTAAGAGAAGCAATATCGGTGTGTGAGGATATTGAAATAATAAAGATAGCCGCAAAGCCAGTACTTAATGCACAATCTCTATACGAGTTACTAGTTTTAAAATCAGAAAACAATGTTAAAAATTTTGTACAAGAGGTCAAACAATTGATGGATAAAATAAGAGAGAAAGCCCGTGAAATGTTATCTTTAGTAAAAAATGATAAAAAATCTGATGAAGATTTAATAGACATTAAAGAAGAATTACTTTGCAATGCCTTGGGTGTTAATCCTGGATTATATAAAATCAATAATGACGCGTTGAGTCATAATGAAGAAACTTCATACCTAAATCAAGAACCACCAGCAAAAATAATGAAAATATCCAATTGTGAAGAATCTAAAGACAACAACGAAGAAAGAATGTCTAGTGGGTTTTCAGAAAGTTCAGATCTTAGTATACCAGAATTTATGAATGAAAGGAGAACTGACTCTGTATCAAATTCAGTGTGTCCAGAAGTATTATCTGCATTAACATTAATGAGAAAAAACCCTACTGTTGATAACAGTAAGGGTAATGACGTTTCTGAACTTTTTATTTCAAGTTCTGCAATTCCAAATCATATTTCGGAGAATTCAGGGTTCCAAAAATTACATGCAAACAAAGTTTCAAAGTTTTCAAATTCAGAATCTCATAAAGAAAATTTTCCAAAGTTAACTGATAATTTAGGATCGTCAAGCCATTCGGAAATTTTTGACAAAATAGAAAGTAATTACGATCAGTCGAAATTGGAACATATAGTTAATGAAGGTTTTATGAAATTAGAGTCGGTAGAACAAGACTTAATGAAACTTGAAAACGGCTCTCTGGGATCATACGAAAAGCAAGATATTCAAAGTAACTTGAATAATATAGAAGATAGATCTCAGAACTTTGTTAAGGGATTTCAAAAATTGGTTTCTAAAATAGGATCTATAAGTACGTTGGAATTAAATAGTGCTAAATCGCAAAGTTCTACATTGGATACAAATCCATGTAAAATATTACCTGCAACTTCGATTTGTAAAGTTTCAGAAAATACTTCTGTCTTGCAAGATACAGTACCAATTATTTCTAATAATTATGATACTAATATATTTGGTAGTACAGACAATCTGGAAATGTCAAAAGTAAGTCAATATGATCATATAGCGCATTTAGATATTTTGAATGGCAGCAGCGAAATAGACAAAAATCTTTTAATCGACGATAAGTTAGTCGAACAATTAAATTTAGTAGATCAAACGAATTTAGTCGATGAATTAGTATCCGAACGATTAAAAAATATTATGCCTGATAATATCTTGGAAGGCAATATCATAGCAAATAATACAAATTTAGATACAGATCTTGATTTTGAAGCACTAAGAGAAGAATTTAATAGAAATGCTAGAAGTTGATTTTTAGATAATTACGCGAATAATAGTATTATACTAATTAAAATTATTTGTGCAGTGTATAATAATGTTAGACATGCAGTACAACTACTTGAATTTTTATACGAAACAAATGTATTTTTGATGATTGCTACATGTTTTTGTTTCTATAAACTTTATATGTGAATTTGAATTAGTTCAAAGTAGAATGAAACCCCTTATTAGGTAATTCATATATTTCTTTTTTTTATAGACAATTGTAAAAATGTACAATATTATTCAGTCTAACGTACATGTAAATATAATTCGTAGATATACATAGTTATTAACAAAAATATTCTCTTGTATATTAAACGGATATCCTAAAGTTATTTTTTGGATCATACAATGTATAAAAATGGTTGCTATTAGGTAAAATTTAAAATTTAAAACTTAATTCCTTTCATAGCTTTGAATTTTGTCAATAATTGTTCATCCAATTTTTAGCTATATTAAAAGGTGCAAATATTTCTTTCATAAAAAGAAATAGACGAAAAAATTAATTAATATATAAATTTCATTTTTATATAAGCAATAAGGTTATCATATATAATCAGACTAATATGTAATAGACACACACACAATTTAATTTTTATTTTAATGTAATATTAATTATTTTAATATTTTTATGTCGTTTTGATTTAATCTTAATATTTTTTTTCATGATATTCTTTGCCATAAATTTTTACAGTTATAGAATGAGGAAGTTTTATTTTTCAGCTATATATAAAATTATATAAATATCTAAATAGAATAATAATAAGAAGAAGAATAAGAATAATAATAAAATAAGAAATTTTTAAAGCAAATTGTAACATTCAAGCAAAGGAGATTTCGTCTTCTTTTCTTATTACTGCATAAAATAATTTCCTTATGTATTTATCTGTACATATGTATTCTACACTTTTTTATATTATACGAAGTAAATATTTACAATAAGTCGTGAGATGTATATGTAATTATGTGTGACTGTAATTCTAACTAGTGCTATGACATAGGAAAATGCTTAAATAATTATGTGTAAGATTTATACTTCTTCCTCATATACATATATAAAAAGTGTTTCATTGTTACATCTATATTTTAAAAGTTATATTTAAAATTATGTTTGATTTTAATGATCTTCGATAAAATGCAAACAAATAGATCAGTATTTTTTTACTGATATTTCACGATAAAAACCATTTTATTTATCAATTTCCAAAATAAAGATGTGAAGTAATGATTCACTTTGTTTAAGCGCATTAGCAAAGATTAGCAACACATCCATTAATTTATATTTTTACTTATATCTATTTGTTATGATCTCAGGTACTACTTATTTATATATAAATAACATATTCTCAATTATGTTACAAAATTTATGCAAAGATATCTATATATATATATATATATAAAAAAAAAAAAAAAAAAAAAGGAAAAGAAAACAAGAGAAAAAATAAAGGGACTTTTTTTCTTATTAACGCTATATATTGTTATTATATATCCTTTTTCTAAAGCAAAATATTAATAAAAAATCGAAAATCATGCATTACATATATAATATACTTACTGTAGTTATCTGTGTCCAGTTTCTGTGAGCATCGCTTCTAGTAATATTGTTACATTTTTAGATAGCAAAGGTTGATGTAGCCACGTGGAGAGGTATAACATTTTTTGTGGTTCTGTGTGACAATGAGCAATATTCTCCAGAACTTCATATTTCATTTGCATTTCATTACTATAAGCAGTATGTATCATTTCCACCGTACGACCTACAAGATATTCCATTTTTATTAATATTGTACATCAACAATAAGTGTTTAAAAGTTATACTAATACCAAATGCAGAAATTGGCCAAGTTGTAAATAATTTCATTGCAGTTTTTTCCAATGTTATTAGAGCATTTATCTGATGTACTATTTGCTCCAAATTCTTTACTAGATTACTCTGTAATATATGAAATAAATGCGATAATTACTACTATATATGACTATATGTACATATACATAAATTTTATAAGTATAATTTAATTAAATATACCAAGTTATGGCAAAGTTCCTCAAGGTTGTCACAGTAATCTTGTAATCGAATGGTATAATTTTTATTGGATTTTTCTTGTATTATAGATTTTAAGATATCCATTCCTTCAAGAATGTTATTATTCCATAGTTGAATAATCCCATGAACATTAGCTGCTAAATCTCGTAAATGACGAACAGTTCCAGTTAAATTTTTTCCTTTTAACGATTTTGAAAATGATGATACTGCTATAAATAAGAGCATTAGCTTATTAAGAATAATTGTTTACAATACAGTAAACTATGAATGTTAAGTTATATACGAGCAAAGATTATTTTTGTAAATAGTTTTTAAATATAGTAATCAAACGTCTTACTAGGAGTGAGAGGTTGTACTGTTCCTTTTATTGCGCATTTATCATTTATATCCATAGTGTCATGTAATAGAAATGTGCCAATAACCATTTAAAGATTCATTATGATATATTTAAGGAACATAAAAAGAGTTCAGTTACATTTCATTATATTCTAACCATCTTTCTTTTTTAGTAGTTTTGTTGCAGTCAAGTTTCGTAACAGTGTTGCCATCTACTGAATTTAAAATGTTATTTTGGTTATGTTCAGTTATAACGTTATTCGATTAAAAAGCAGTTCTATCGTTAAAAGATAAAAATTGTAAAAAATACTTTAGACTGTTTTAACAATTGATGAAAATAAATATATTTGTATGTAATTAATAAAGTTTTTATCTAGATTACATAGATAAGATTCAAAGAATTTCAAATATTACCCGCGCGTTATGGTCCAGAGGAAAATTGCGAGTTTTCAGGCCTGTAACAAATTTTACTTCTGAAACAGTGAACTCCTAAAAGTTACAAGTGCTGAGACTGCGATGATAAGTGGGAAGAATTAAAAAAAAAGAACTGTTGTATTAAATGCACTTACATTTATTAGTTTTCTTTACGTATATTCAAAGCTTATTCGTGGTTTTAATCTTTAATGGCGATAGTACAATACTAGGTAAGTCATTCATTATACATTTTTATCTATATATTTTAAGTTGCGGTCATAACAATGATAGTTTTGCTAGTTTAACGATAATGACGATTGATATATTTAACTCTATTTGTATTGCTTTTAAATTGATGAAAATTCTTCACAAAATCTTCGTTACTCTGACACGACACATATGTATGTCGAGGTTAGGTTATGAGAGCTCGTTGTTAGAAATTTTAGCATTTTCAATTTTTGTATTTTATCAGGAATCATAGAATAATATATGTGCAATGATATTATTGGTACAATAATTAGATCGATGTAACATTAGGTTTTTCTTGTTAATATATTGCTTTTTATAAAGTACATAATCATTAAAATAGTTTCTACTGTACCTTTGTTACTAAAATTTGATCTGTCAATGTTTTAGGAAATAGAGAGCAGCGAGTAAGATGCAAACAATAAAGTGTGTTGTGGTCGGAGATGGAGCTGTGGGAAAAACATGTCTTTTGATTTCATATACAACTAATAAGTTTCCTTCGGAATACGTGCCTACTGTTTTTGACAACTATGCTGTAACAGTAATGATAGGCGGTGATCCATATACGTTAGGATTATTTGATACCGCTGGTAAGGGCAATGAATAGCTTTACTGGTTAAATCTTACAGGCAAATTACTTGCATAGATTAAATATACGTTGCATTATAATTATATCACAGGTCAGGAAGATTATGATAGACTAAGACCTTTAAGTTATCCGCAAACAGATGTATTTCTTGTCTGTTTCTCAGTTGTTTCACCATCGTCATTTGAAAATGTTAAAGAAAAGGTAACTGCTATAACATGTGTAGTTGTGTATCGAATAACATATAATATTGAAAATATTAAATCTCAATGGTCGTTGTGTAGTGGGTTCCAGAAATAACTCATCATTGTCAGAGGACTCCATTTCTCCTAGTTGGTACTCAGATTGATTTACGAGATGACGTTGCTACTATAGAGAAACTTGCAAAAAATAAGCAGAAACCAATATCCGCGGAACAAGGAGAAAAACTTGCAAAAGAGCTCAAAGCTGTGAAATATGTAGAATGTAGTGCTCTGACACAGGTATATCTTTTTGCAAATAAGTTGAATTTAAGTTATTTGAGTTTTCTACTTAGTATCTACTGATCTTTTTAAATGTTCATTTTAGAAAGGTTTAAAAAATGTATTCGACGAAGCTATATTGGCGGCATTAGAGCCCCCAGAACCGGTGAAGAAAAGAAGATGTATGCTTTTGTAAAGCATTTTACTGATTTTGCAATACATTATCCCTGACTACGAAGTAACAACATTAAAATGTATCAGGTGATTATCTCCTCCATAGTAGATTAACGATAGGAGGAAATTACGTCTGTACGAATGTTAAGATATAAAAAAAAGTATTCATTGAAGGGGCGTATTAGAAGCCGCTTATATCAGCGCAACAACTGCGGTTTGCCTATGCGTTTCCTATATTTGACTATTTTTATCTGTGTATACATTCCATACAAAATTCTTATATCTTGGCCTTATTATTTTTAATTTTAAAAAATTTTTTTAAATTTTCTTAAATAAGGTTAATATAGCACATTAATTTTGACAAGATCAAATAATCCTGATTGATATGCATAGCACAAAGAATATATTTTCTTTTCTTTTCTGCTTTTAACTTTGAAACTAATTATACCTGCACATCGAATATCCTCGACTTTTGGAAAAAGTTTGATACCAATTATTAATAGATATGCTATTTTTTTGTTTTATCTTACAATTAATAAATTGGTGCTATCAAACTAATGTATTGGTTAAAAGTGCAAAGTATTACACAAAATCGTAACTTTTTAAATTTATTATAAATACGATCATTGTATTACTCATTCGACAACATTTTCAAACTCAATAGTTTGTTTATTAAAGATGAATGCTGGTATTTAAAGTTTTATAAAAAGTCTGTAAGATATCTATTGGCATAGCATGAGGGAATCGCAGCGAATCGTAGCATCAATGAATTGGACGAATGTCAGATAGTTTAAAGAATTAGCTTGCGCTGTAACATTAGAAGGAGAAAGGAGATATTAAGAGACGCTTCGATTCTCTTGCATATAAGTACGTCATTAAATATATGTATATGTATAATATATGCATATGTATATGTATGTATGTACATATATACATATCTGTCACATATTCAAAAAAAATTATGCAAACAAACGATAACATCCAAAAAATTGTTCTAGACGATTCGCGTATGGCAGCTAAATTCGGTCGCCAAACCTTCTCCAACTCTCGGACAATTTAATTGCATTTGAGCAATGCAAACGTATTTTTTAGTATATTGAAGAGTATTGTTATGTGTTATCATATAAATAAGCGAGGACAGAAAATTGACAGCACTCTTACCTTATAAGATTAATGATTCTTTATCGATCAGAGAGATATATATGAATCGTACACATGTCTAAGATATTAGTGAAGTGTGTACATTTTTGACTATAAATCATACATCTTTTTCCATCATTTCTCATTGTTTTTCATCATTTTTTAAATTTTCGTACTGCGTACATCGACGCAATGGATAAAAAACGTCATAATTCTAAACGATGGTATACAGACGATCGGTTATCATTAAAAGGCGAGGTACGTTATCATTCCGATTCGAAGGACTATCGGCTATCTTATTAAAATCGTGTGGTAAGTCACGAATAGACAAACATTAAGTTATTAATTCTTAAAACAAGTATTACGTGAAAAATCTTTTAACAATTTTTACACTATGAACCCAGTTGGAGATAATTGCATTTATTAGCACTGTACTGTGTCGAACTATGTAGACACATTCGTATTAAAAGAAAAAAGAAAAGAAAAAAAACTATTCGCATAAATATATTTATACCATGTAACATGAACTTTTATTTACTATTATCCTGCAATTGAAGGTTGCAAATATACAGTAAATATTTAAATAATGCCTCTAGACAAATAATCTTGTAGTATGTTTGAAATATAAATTAAAGGAGCTAAAAGTGTTGTGCCGTGGCCATTTCAAAATGAGCCTTCATCGAAGAATATGTTTTTAGAATATTAGGAGAATAAAGAAATGTTCATCGAGAAAGATTAGAGATTTTACGAGTTAGTTTAGAAAGCAGGTATCGTAGTCTGTATTTTATCATAGGATAGTCTATTATTCTTTTTCGCTCGGTAGGTCCTTCAGGATTACCCCGGAAGCCAATAGGTAGATATATCTATGATGGAGCGACGTATCGACTGTGGACCGTAAAAGCGTACGTTTACGGTCACGATTCACGTGGGAATCCTACGAGGATTTATTCCTTTTTTATCGTACGGATCGCGTTCAGTATATCTCGGGTCATTACAATTAAATCTACTATCAGCTTCCAACTCCCCTATACGTTTTTCCCTCTTTTCCTCTCTCTCTCTCTCTCTCTCTTTTTCGTTCTCTTCTTTCCTCCCCCTAATTCAGTGGTTCTTAATAGGTGTTCTGCGAATTTGCTACAAGTGTTTCGCGAAATTATGAAAACGCGGCATAGATCGTTGATCGAGTCGCCGATCACAAGCAAGCGTGACACTATGCTTCTGTTTCAAACAAAAACAAGACTTAACTTTTGTTGTTAGTTTTATGATCTTAAAATTAGTGATTTTAGTGTTCCGTGATTTCGATAAGAATTAAGAATCATTGCTCTAACATAAAGCTTTTGTAATAATTTTCTGTAGCTTGAAGCTTTTAAGCGATAACTCGAATACAAGAGTAGTAAAGTTTCATCTTTGCCGGAAAGGCAAGTTTCGGTGTGGAAAATAACATGTAAGATAGAAAAAAAGTAAGATTGCGAAGGTAGGAGCAGTGGCAAATGATGGGTATGGACGATAGTGATTTGATTCTCGGTCTTTCATTGGTATGATCGTACCTCTCTTGTTTTCTCGTTCTCTTTGGAATGGTCGAAAGAGAAGGAGAAGGAGTCATTGGAAAGGTTCGACTTGGAGGGTTCGTAATCCCCTCGACGAATCGGCACGTGCGAGCGGAAATGCAGGCTGCCGAGAAAACGTAGAAAGACGGGAGGCATCCATTTGACGATCTCGATGGGATATTGCCGGACGTGGATCGCCCACGACCGTTCTCCGAGATCATCGTCCACCTTGCCGATTGTGAGTCTTATTTTCTTTCTCTCTCTCTCTCGGCACCCTACTCTGTGGTTATTTCAATTAGGTGGAATCGCGTATCGGACGAGAGGAGTCACGGACTGCGAGGAGCACGGACGCATCGTGAACGTGCCTCCTCTACTCCCTTGACATTATCACTAATCATTTTCGAATCGATGACCGCGTGCGCGCCCCTAACAGAAATAGAAGAAGGGGAAACGTCCGATTATTTACGGAGTTATTAAAGTCGGTTCTTTTTTTTTTGTTTTTTTACCTTGGATATTACATGCAAGAATCGTGCTATCAAACTCAAAACAAGAGGTACTTTTAAAATTATTTATCTATGATAAATTAACTTTAATAAATAAATAAATTATCAAACCACAATCAATATTCAATGGCTGATGACAATGCATTGTCCTTTTTACCGTGTATTCTAATTTTCTTTCTCTTTCTATTTTTATTTTATTATTTCTTTTTTTCTAGTCATAGTAAAACAAGACCCTCAAGTAGCCAGGTGATGGCGATGGACCAGTAGGGGGTCCGTAAAGGCACGTTGACACAAGTCATTTTTACGCGGGTATTCGAAGCGAGCTCGATGGGCGGCCAGGTTCGTCTTCTCGGTTGCTTTATGCCGACTTTCCTAGCGGTAGAAACAGCAGCACGATATCTCTGAGTAATGGCGCGAGATCCGTGCCGTAGTTGCCGATGGGGGTGCCCCCCATCCCCTCCTCTCCCCCATCCTCTTCTTCTCATTCTTCTCCAGTTGGATTCTCAAGTGAGGAAGAGAAAGAAAGAGATAGAGAGATAGGATCGACGGGCCGAGGTGATTTTAGTCACCCGTCGCGATGTCCCTTTCCTACGTGCCACCCTGACGAAATTCTACATCCGTAGTAATATCTATTCCGCAGAGCCTAGATCTATCTTTCTGAGATAGATTCCATCGTTTTTCTTTATATATGTGTTCGTATAAAAAAAAATGTATTATTTTAATTATTGAAGAAAGAATTTTTGTTTTTTTGGTTTTTTTTTTTTGTGATTAAAGAGGAGGCATATGGTACATGCACGCGTTCTCCTACAACACCGGTTTTATAACGACTATTAAAGATTTAATGAATCAACCGTACCTCCATAATTTCGCCTTGTCGTGTTGCCTAATTAATACAGAATTCGAGCTCTAACTGGACGAGGATATATATTCGCGTGGCGTATAGTTATCGCGATAAAATCGGCTATAACCTTTCGGTTATGATTGATTTTATGACTCCATTGGTTTCCGTAGCATCGATTTTTCTTGCCTTATTCGTATCTCGCGAGGAATGATGAGATCGAATTGAAGTATCTCGATTAAATGCTTTCGCGGTCAAATCTTTTCTTTTTTTTCTTTTTTTTTTTGTTTCTCTTACAGGTATTTTCTCCTATTTTTATTTACTTATTCTTGTTTTTTTTTTTACTCACACAATCAGATATAAAAGTAGATTTCTAAATTTGACGATGGAGATCGTCATGAATTATACATTGTTAACGCGTCGCTTAAATATATTATAAGCGAACATACAAAATGCGATATTCATATACGTGCAAATATTCGCTAGAAGATGCGAACTGCGTGTAATTATTCTTATACACGCGAATCCCGTGGATCGCGTGCCAATTCGTTGTGTGAACAGGCACTCGTGCGTAAAGTGTAAGATAGCGTTAATGCGGAAAATATTTCTCTCTCTTTTTTTTTTCTTTTTTTTTTTCATTAAATACGATCTGCTTTCGTTGATGGAAAAACTACGACAAGATTCAACACGGAGGAATGGGATTGAAGAAAGTAAGATAGAAGAGAAGTGTTTTACATATATATATATATATTTTTTTTTTTTGAAACTTGCGCATAGAGAATAAATTTACAAATGAATTTGTTTTCGTAATTTCTTGAAAAGCGAAAATAGATATGCATAGATTCGAATTGATAGATAGTATTTAATTATATTTTATTTATGGTCTAGTTAATTCGTTTTATTCGACGATGCAAACGACTAACGTGAATTAATTGAAATGTGAACAATTTGGTATCCCCTAATTCACGCAAAGGTGAATCGTATGTATACCAGTTTCACGTTAGTCATAGAAAATGTGAGATAGGTAACAGAGATATAGGAAAGATCAAACAAGAGATATCTATTGGAAAGTATGGATCTGGATGACGCATCTTTCACGGACAGATCGCGTCGTTTGGATAATAAATCGTTTCTCATAAAAGTACTCCGTTCCGTGGTCAAACGCGAGGTTCGTTTCGCGGTCGGACACGTCCTCGGAATATTATTTTCATCGGGATGCTCGTAGATCTTTTTTTAACCCTCCGTTGGTAGATAATGCGAACTATTTTTTATCTCCCGTTCCTTTACCGATGTCACTTTTATGTCCGGCGATGATCGCGAAAATAATGACAAGTCTTTTCCTCGAAAAAATCACTTCGAGAGATCTTTTCTTCTGACCTTCTTCTGGAAGACTTCGAGAGATGTCTTCCAGAAACGCATTTAATCGCCATCGGCTGTTCTCTTGTCTAATCGTTAAAGTGCCCGTGTATCTTAGATTATACTCCCACTCGAGGAACTAAGCTTTTCCGAGGATCCTAATGTCGAAAAAAGACTAAAATAAGACGAGAAGCAGCGTCTGGATAGGGTCGAGTGGCTGGCTCCTGGTTGGTGTCTCGCGATAACACCATGCCCAAGTGGCACGCGTCGCCACGATCTTGCACTTTTTGCCGAGGCCAACGATATAAGAATGATACGCCACCCCAAAGATGCATACTCACCCCTCCCACCCTCCCCCGCTTCCCCCATTCCCATCTTGGCTTCTCCTTTTAGTCTAAACCAGACATTGAATCTTTCTTTTTTCCTAGTCGATCGCTATCTAGTTTCCTAGGTTTCCTTGTTTAACATTTAGCCTTCTGCTATTGTACTCTACTACAAAGTTTAGACTCTGAGATTGTTTATCATGATTAAACGTTTCAACTCGATTGCGAGGATGACGGTGCCTTGGTATATCGATCTCAAATTTTCTCCTACATGAAAATTCTTGCTTGATATGTCCCTTTGTTCAAACTTGTGAAGTACCTATAGCAGTAGATATTATTGTTTCGACCAATTCACAATTTTCTTACTACGCGTACGAATGAAGTGATATTTCCTTGGAAATCTACTAGTAATAAAAAAATCTTTCTCATTAACGTGAGATTATTACTTCTCTTATTTTTTCCATCCAGATATTCATCGTGGAACAATGAAAAGAAAATGTTTGAAATGCTATTCGATCTTTGCAACGTCACGTAAATGCGTTTTCAAACAAAACGATATTATCGAATCGAGGCCGGATCCGAAAGTCCAAACAGTCCCGATTTACGAGCGACTTTGCTTTGGATGGGTAGGATGGATCGGCGGATAAAGGTGGGCAGCAGAAGAGGAACAACGTGGGTGGCAACAATAGCTCTTGAGCGAGCAGATTCTGGTGGCACAACATGCATTGTACGACCGCAGTTTGAAGGTGATTGATTACCGTTGCCGATCGAACGCACACGCGTGCCTGTCCTTCTGGCTACGCTTGTTCCCCCTTCTCTCTCTTTCCCCCCCCCTCTCTCTATCTCCTTTTATTCTCCATTCCATCCCTTTCTCACTTCTACGAACACAGGAACAACGCTTTGCTCGGCCGATGACAAAATTCTCGTCATCAATCGAATTCTCGGACTTTCGTTAAG